AGAAATAAAGACTACAAACAGAATCTAAAATCTAAAATTAAGTAAAATTGTAAGTTTGAGGATGTTTTGCGTCATAATTTTTTTTTTGAGGAGGGGGGCCACAAAAGGATTCACCCTACACAAGGGGGTCTCCTGCTGAAAAAGTTTGAGAACCACTGCTCTAGATGGTTCTGCAGCAGACTCACCACTCTAGCTGCGGTGCAGCAGCAAAAAGGAAAGAGGCAGTCAAGACAGGCAAAGCGCCAAAAAACAAGTGAGTTTATTTTAACGTGCCTGAACACCAGAGAGAACCCACGCACCCGCTTGGGCATACGTCACAAAAAACGACACCCTGTACGCATGAGCAAAAGGTAAGAGAATGAACTCTGTTTAAATGGTAGGAGCCCCTACAATATTCATAGTTGCTAATTATGAATTACAAAATGGTGTTTTCTGCATTTGGTTTCTAATTTTGATTTTTTTTTCCCCCTCAGATACTCAGATTCCATCAGATACCATATTGACCATCTTGTCTGAAGTAAGTTCAATGTACTGAGCAACTGTTCCTTCAACATTTTGAGATGTCAAGTATTGCAGCATTCAAGTGCCATTTTTGTGACAGTGCATTTACATCCTTAAAAAGATATGTAAATCACCAAAGCCTACATAAAAATGAAGCAAATGGTCTGTTTCCATGCTGTATGGCTGGATGCAAATATAAATTCACAAGGTACAATGCATTTAAAGCTCATGTGTATCGGCATCATGATAAGTCATGTGACTCACAGTTTGATACAGTGCAGGGCTCATTTTGCTGTCAGATTGCTCAGTGCCACTGTCAGTGTGTTGATGTTAAAGACCTTTTGGCCCATCTTAGGTTACATTTGTCAAAAAAATCACGAATCTGGAAACATAAAAATGTTTCAGCTGGGAATGTTTCTGCACTATATTGTGCTACCTCTGTGCCAAGTCACTCCTCTGATGTTGTTGAAAGGCACAGGGATGAAGTGGTTGATGATCCAGAGCTTGATGCACCAGATTCTAATATTATACAATTGTATATGAGGAATCTGTGTTTGTTCTACACTCACCTAAAGGATTATTAGGAACACCATACTAATACGGTGTTTGACCCCCTTTCGCCTTCAGAACTGCCTTAATTCTACGTGG